TTTTAAGGACTCCAGTTTACCTATAAGCATAATTCTGCCTTGCCGGCCCCGCCCCCAGGTGCCGGCCCTGCCCCCAGGGCTATACTCAACTGCATACTGAGACGCAATTGAGACTGGGCTTGGCAGCCTGTGTCTGTAATCCCAGCTCTTGGAGGCTGTAAACAGGAGGATCACTGAGTCTGATCTAGTAGTGGATCCTGAACACCCTGTAGACCCTTCCCTAAAAATACAAAAAGATAAACATAAAAACACCTAAATGAGTTGCTATTTTTGTGGTGTGGTGGTGGTGGTGGTGCTGAAAGCAGCAGTGCTTTTTGCTGTACTGGGGATTAAACCAGGAACTTGGCACTGAACTATATCTTCAGCTCCTTTTATTTTAAGATAGGGTCTTGCTCAATTGCCCATGCTGAGTTGGAACTTGCAGTCCTTAATTCTCTAGAGTGCTGGGATTATGCCTGTGCACGATTAACCTAAAGTGTGTGAGGCTCTAACAGCTGATGATAAATTAAGAGCTCTGAAAGATTCCCTCACCACATAAAGAAGCAAGAGGACTTAACTAATTTATTGTTGCTAACGCTACCAGGAAAGGTCACCTTAGTTGCAAAGGAGACAGGAAATGAGCTGGCTCTGCACATACAGGAACTGCTGTCACCCTCTCTACCATCATTTCATGACCTTGACTACAAATGGTTTAGGCATGAATGGCTTTGAGACCTTTAGAAATGTGCACTTAGGAGCTGGGGAGAGTGCTCAGTAGAATAAGCACTTCCCTGGCAAGCACAAGGGCTTGAGTTCAATCCCTGGTTCCAAAAAAAAGTGCACACTTAGTTTCCCCTTAAATGCCCTATAAGTCACTATTAAGTGCTATTGTTTGGTATACCTAGAGTCAGATTATTGTTGCAAGTATTAATGAGGAACATGCTCACATAAATGTTACAGAAAATTTAGAAATATAAAATTGAGAAAGGTAGGGCCTGGGAGATGGCTCAGTGGAATATGCGCTTCCTTGGCAAGCGCAAGGGCCTGAGTTCAATTCCCAGTTCCGCAAAAAAAAAAAAAAAAGCAACTAAAATTGAGAAAGGCAAGGGATATAACTCAGTGGCACAATGCCTGCCTGGCAAATGTGAGGTCCTGAGTTTAATTCCCAGTAAAAAAGACAAAACATTGAGAAGTGTAAGAATTCTTCAGTCCCCATCATCCAAGTTCATTATGAACTCATAGCCAATATCATTTATTCTAGCCCTATGATGTTGATTGCCTTTTGCTGTGCTGAGGAGGTCAAACCCAGGTCCTCACAAAAGCTAGCTGCGGGTTAGCTACATCTCTCATTTCTAGCCCCTCTGAATGATTTTTCATTTTGAGTTTTTTCAATGCCTATTCATGGTTTTTATGATTTAAGACTGCGGTGACTTTATTTTTGAAACAGGGTCTCACTTTATAATGTATGCTGGCCTTGAGCTTGCTGCAGTCCTCCTCCCTCACCCTCCAAGAAAACTTGGAGTAACTGGTACAGGATCACAGATTTATGCCACCATGCCTGACTCCTATTGTGTATTTTTAAAAAACAAATAATAGTGCTAGTTGTCTTCAAGGGTCAAGTTCATGACTTTGATGTTAGAACCATTCAATAAATTAGGAATATAAAGAAAATGAGCAACGCTAAGAAACAGGAAAGGCAAAAGCGTTTTGAATTACTTTGATTCAGTGACCTGTTCTGGCCGGTCCTGGGCAAGCAGCTGCTATTGCCACTGGAGACCAAGGTGCTCCATATGGGGCTGGATTGGGTGAAGATTTATTTTGCCTAGGGCTTTAGGTTCTGGTGTGCATTGGACACTTGCTCTGGGTCCTAATCAATGGGATCCATTGTGTTATTCTTTAAAGAGATTTTTAAAATGGAAACTGTTAATTGGAACCTGTGCAGTATTTGAAAAGTTCTCAACTTTACGCAAGGAAAGTTCCACAGAAACATAGCTGCATTTACTAGAGGCTAATCAGGACTGCAGTGTGATTTAAAATTGCAGTTCATTTACATGTTCCAACATATGTAGATACAGAGAAGATAAACATTGTCACGGATTCAGTAAATATTTATTCAATGAGTGCCAGAGCCAAAACAATGAGGGAGGTGTTTGGAAATGAGTGACTAAGAGGTTTCTGTTCTTACATGATGTTCTGAGGAGAGGAGGTGAGATCTCTTTTTCTTAATCAAATGGATTAAAAAGAAACTTCAAAACAGCAGTATTTTTTAAAAAAAGTCAAGAGGCTGGGGAGATGGCTCAGTAGAATAAGCGCTTCCCTGGCAAGTGCAAGGGCCTGAGTTCAATCCCCAGTTCTGCAAAAAATAAGTAAGTCAGAGTGGGGTTTGGTGGTGCATGCCTATGATCCCAGCACTGACTGATCCTTGTTGTGAGTTTGAGACCAGCCTAGGCTACAAAGTGAGCTCGAGGCCAGCCTGAATTGCATATAGAGACCCTGTCTCAAAAAGAAAATAAATTCTAGATTTTATTAGATCCATAAACAATGTTTTTTGAGGTTTTTTTTGTACTGAGCATCAAACCCTGGTCCAGTGATATTTTGACTTATACTCCCATTTTTTGGTTTAGTTCTTGATTTTGTATATTCTTGTGAATGTGATCTTTGCTCATTTTTTGTTATATTGGTATTGCTTTTTTTTTTTTGGCAGTAGTGGGATTTGAATCCAGGGTCTCATACATGCTAGGCAAGCAGTCTACCCTCTTCATACTGATTTTTCAGAAAATTAAGGAAATAGCCCTAACATACACATACATACATAAATTTGTAAGTGTGTTGTGTGTGTGTGATACTTAGAAGTCCAAGGTGGTTCTGTTACTGGGCTGCATCCCCAGCCCTCATGGACTTTCTACAAATGCACATTATCACTGACCTGTTGAACATTTTAACTGGTTCCTTTATGTACTCTGGCTTCTCCGTTAATTTGCCATAGAGCAGTCAAGAAGATCTTTTCAGAAAACATCTGGATAAAACTCTTCATGGGCTTCACATTGCTCGTTGGGTAAAGATCTAATCTCGATGTGTCCTGAAAGCCCCTGTCTATATGACTTGAGCACATTGATCCGCATATGTAATTCTAGCACTCCAGAGGCTGAGGCAGGACACTGGACAACTTAGCAATGGTGCAATCCTGTTTCAAGAAAGGGGCAAAGTAGGACTGGTAATAGATCTCAGTATGGACATGCTGAATTCAGTCACCAGTTTGTGTGGGGGCAACAGACGGTATGTGACTTTGGTCCTGACCTCTGTTCTCACATCATTCTCCTACTGGTTTAGTCATAGTGCTGACTTTGTTTGTTTTCCCATCTCTCAAGGATCTTCATCATAAATGGAGCCAGTTAATTGCATCTGAAGACATTTGCATTTATAGGCAATTGGTCTAATGGCAGAAGCCATTCATAGATTCATAATTCATTTGATAAATTCATATTTCATAGTAGAATAGTACAGTCATAGGTAGTGTATAGGTCATTGATACATATGAATATACATAGTTAAGAGAACTGTTAAAAATTACACAATATATGAATTTTTCATAGCTTAAGAGAAAGAGTAAATAGGAGTCTTGTTTTTCTCTTCCTCATAGATTTAAACAGTCAAGTAAAATCAAACTGGGCAATCATGGCAGAAGGAGGATTTGATCCCTGTGAATGTGTTTGTTCTCATGAACATTCGATGAGAAGGCTGATTAATCTGGTAAGTGGAATAGCACGGGCCTGTGGAGAACCGATCTGTTTTTCCTTCTGTCCTGTTTTTCTGAGACTGTTACTGGAAGATTTTCATCTGATGGTCACTGAAATGTATTTTATCATAAAATTACACAGTAGGTTAAGTCTTAAAGTATTTGCCAAGGGGCCTGCCCATTAGCTTAGTTGTTTAAGTGTCTGCTTACACAAAGCAGTCAGGCTCAGGATGCTGTGGTTTGATCCACAGATCTGCAAGCCAAACCAGACATACCCTGAAGGCATCCTGAGGCCACACACACACACAAAAAAGTATTTGCCAGCCTTCTTTTATTGTAGATGAAATCTGATGACTTTTTATGTAGATTTATATTGATAAAATTTGCCCACATTATACCTTGATAATGTAATTTTAAATGAAACAAATCAGACGTATATGTTTAAATACCACATTGTTGGGCTGAGGATGTAGCTCAGTGGCACAGGTTCTTGCCTGGCAAGCATGAGGTCCTGAGTTTGATTCTCAGTACCAAAAAATAAAAAATAAAAAAAAATTGTTTCTCTTGTGTGAGAAACCCAAAAGGTAAAGACCAAAATGGATGTTAGCTATTGGGAAGTAGGAAGAACATGTTCAAAGGGAAAGGGGAACCAGTGGGAAGGGGAAATAGGGATAAAATATAAAAGAGAATGGAAGGAAAATGATAGAGACAAAGTTTTATGAAAGGGAGAGAGGAAGAAAGATTGAAAGGAAGAGAGGGGAGTAGGAAAAAAGAATTAAGATTATTATGTGCAGGTAAAAATTCCCTGTGAAGAATATGATCGTTATGTATGTCAAAAGTATACCAATAAAATTAATTTTTAAAAAATTGCCATCATCCTGGCTTGGCAGCTTATACCTGTAATTCCAATATAAATTCAAGGCCAGCCTGAACTACATAGTAAGACCTTGTCTGTGTGTGTGTGTGTGTGTGTCTCTCTCTCTATATATATATATTTTTTTTTTGGTATGTATTTTTATTCTTTTGATACAGGATCTTGCTACACAGTTCAGACTCTTAGTGATGCACCTGTCTTAGCCTCCCCAATGCTGAATTACAGGTGTAAGCTACCACACCTGGTTTCAGTGGCCAACATGGTGCGCTGGGGTTCCTGGCTCAGCATGGCATACAATACCAGGGATCAAACTCAGGTCTCTGCACTTGCAAGGCGGGCACTTAGACTGTCGAGCTATCTTCCCCAGCCCCTAGAAAATATATTTGTGACAGACCTCTGTACATTACTATTAAGAAATTTTTTTAGTAACACAGAACTTATTTGCTTGCTAAACTGCTGTATTTTCACTTCAGATCATTCTCTAACATCTGGCACAATTGTAAAAATCTTAGTGTTTCCAAATGTAAATAAATTACTTAACTAAGGTATGTTTTTCCTTGTTTGTTTGTTTGTTTGTTTGTTTGAGACAGGGTCTTTATAACTTGGCTGGCCTTGAACTCTGTAGCTTAGGCTAGCCTTAAACTCACAGTAATCTTGTTTCAGCCTCCCATAAGTGCTGGGATTACAGGCATGCTCCATGGTAGACTTCTCAACAACAGTATTTAAGTAGTCTCACTGAATCAGTTGTAGTCAGATTTAACTTATAAGGTGGGACTGGGGAGATAGCTCAGTGGAATAAGTGTTTGCCTGGCAAGTTCAAGGTCCTGAGTTCAATTCCTGGTACCACCAAAAACAAACAAACAAAAAGATTTAGGTGGTTGCCAGGAAGATAGCTGAAGGACCTGAGTTTGATCCCTGGTAAAAAAAAAAAAAAAAAAAAAAGGATTTAGGTGGCTTATGAGCTTAAATATTATACACTGTACTTTTTAATGTAAAAGGAAAAAATCTAACCATTACTAGCAATAAAGTACCCACCCTCAATGTTAGGGATTCAATCTAGGGCCT